TCCATAAAGTCGATTAATGTTTTATAATATCGGGCAAACAGCGTGAATTTATGAGATGCTGGCGTACGTGCGGTACAAGAATACAAATATTCTTGGTTCAACAGATGACTTTCTAACCCACTTTAGCACCAAAACCCTTGTCCGAAAGCGATGACTAAGAATCCTGCTTTTATGCATCGTGTGAAGATTACGTGTTAGTGAGGGTAGTCTTTCACACTATCTATCACGATCTATTTCCTTGTCTTTCCTTTTAAAAAATGATTAAAATTGTATGTCTCTGTTAAGCGAGACTTACCACCTTACATTAATATTTTGCATCAGTATAGTTTTTCGCTAGCTCTTGTCTAGTAAACTAATCACCGACACCCTCATCGCATTCTTAGAGGTGTGGTATCAGCCATACAAAAGCAAGTCACCTGATATTGTCGCCGAAGCATAATTTGCATAAATGTGCCTCCATAACTGCTGGAGCTAAATCAATCAATAGCAGTGTGTGTGTGTGTGTGTGTGCGTGTGCAAATCAGGAGGTTCAGTCAGTCCTTCAACAGGCGTTTTTTTTGCATACTTTTAGCCAAATTAAACTTAGTTATTCGAACTGCACCTCTTCACATCAGGTTTTGGCCAAAACCCGCAATTCTTTAGCCTTGACNGCCTTGACTCATATTCCTTTAGCCAAAACCTGGAATTCCTTAACCACAATCCGTAGTCCTTTCGCCTCGAAGCCCAAACTTTAGTCACGCCGCAGTAGGTGAATCAGATCAAGGAATATCGGAATATCCTGAGGTCAGCGAGAGTTGAACATTTTTATTTTTCACAGGTGTTGATGTTGCAAAGCTTGGTGTAGATACCTGTTATTTATGACTGAGATACAATTCCACGAAGTTCCGACATTTTGATTTATTCCTTTGTGAGATGTCGCACAGCTTGTACATATCACACTGTTTTTCCTGAAAAATAATTTTCTTAACGTAACTGGTTTAACGCAGTTCTGTTTCAGTTTCTTCAACCATTAACCATGCCCTATCTTGCAAATCAATCATTTTTCTCTCTTTATTCTTTCGACGTCTTTGGTCGAGCCCTGTCTAATTCTCGAAAAATTCCTACCTCACAAGCGTTAAGTTGGATAGGCGTGAGGTTGCAGTATGACTTCGATTCATAGTATCATCTTTTGGCTCATCTAGTTGCGAGAATAGAACGCTCCAGGGAGTCAAATTCAACAATTGTATCTCATTGCATGGTTAAATAAAAACACCAAAAGCCTACTGTTTGGATTGAGTAATTAACTGAGTATTTGCGGTACTCGGAACGGCTTTTCACTGATCAATTTGACTGAATTGGTCCAATAGACTGATCTCATTCACTCTGTCATGGCGATCAAGCTAAGACCCAGCATGAGGGTATGAAAACCCTAACCAGTAGTCTGGGTCACATAGGTCCCGTTAGGCTCCCTGGATGGGGACCCAGAGATTATGGTCGCCGGTGGTTAGAGACACAGTGATATGGCTGGGTGTCGCAAACAGTAGCGCTCATGCATCTACTCATTATTCTTGTTGCTTTAGTCTATGAAAATGTGCTACCTTCCGCTTAAATCTGCTCAACATTCTAATCATCATTCTGCTATCTTATCCAAATGGGCAACCAAAACCGACGCACGAAAGTGCATGGCTAGTGGTTGTGAGAACTGAACTGAACTGTCATGGCTTTAAAGCATATTTTGCACTTTAGAGTATCAAGTTTGGATTAGCCCATTCGATTATTCAAAGGCACCAGGCGCTCTTGATGGTCTTGGGTGTGGGTTTCACTCCTTGAGAGATCGTTAGTTCCCCACTAATTGAATGCATTTGAACGCGATGGACATATTCGTAATGATCGACTAAATGCAATGAACAACTGTTTCGTTCTGTTTGGGACGCGTCAGCAGTACGCACATTTTGTATCCCCTTCAGATCTCAAACTGCGCTGTTCGCGCTAATTATATCACCTTTAGTCATCACATTGTCCGGATTCTCATTTGAATCTTTTCGCGCGTCAACTAAATGAAGTTTGGTCAATCATCCAAACAGCGTATCTATTTGAGCTCACTCAGGCTCACTACTACTCACGCAACTCATCCACTCTTCTATCTAACCCTACTGAAATTGTTTGATATAAACTTGATTGTTAAGGCTTGAAAAGGAATTCACCGACAACATACGTTTGCCTATATGTTGTGTTCTTAGTTATGGAGTAAATCAACCTTAAGTAACTGATGGACTATAAATACGGCAATAAATCCGTCAGGTACCTTGTCCTTGGAGAATAGCTCCCTATCTCGTGACGAAGTACTGCTCCATAATGCATAGGTCATTTCCAATTATTCATTGATGAAAAACTGCAGTGCTTTGGCGGTGGTGCCCCGGTGGTAACGTCACCAAATTATCATCCCGGGGATGTTTGAATCCCACCACCGCCGCCTGACCATTCCCATTGTGCGTTCAATGGTAGCCCGTTGATTGACCGCCTCCTCCTTCCTGAAAATTGTATCTTTGTATATTCAATAAAAGGAAGTAAAGTGAAAAGAAAAAAAATACACTTTGGATCCATTTCATTCAGTTATTTTTCTATCATATTATTTTCGACATTTTCTTATGTAAATCATGAACTTTAATCCGGTGTTTTGTTTCTTCTCAATTTCTTAATTATTTAGTTTATCCTTTCTTGGCCGTGAAACTACTTCGTGAATTTCTCGAGTAACAAACCTAATTCTTAGTTTTCGTGATCAGCACTAGGCTCAGGGGGGCTTATCAATGTGAAATGGAAGCCAAGACGTTATAACGTCGAAGCGATAACTTCTCTCATTTTACGTGCCACAGTAAATTAGGAATTTAATTTATAAGTTTACGAATTTCGTTATACCACCTTTCGTTACGAAGATGCCTTTTAAATCAACTTAAGATCTTTATTGTCGAAGTTTGTGTTACTTCTCAGAACCTCAACATTTACTTAAACGCTCCATCTGTTTCAAAAGAAGTATTGTTAACCGACACCTGAGAATATGGCCCGTTTGAGAATTTGCCAATCCTGCGTAACCCTGTCGCATCCCTGCCAGTATCTCACTTGCAGGCGACTACGTAACGGATAAGCACTCGTGTCACATTTGCACGTCACGATTGAGCCCGTTTGGTATATGCGTGTGAGCGTGCAAGTGGTTCGCTTACTTTATGTCATTGGTAACTGCAGGAATAAAGCTATCTAATCTCGATTTATTAGTAGTCCTCACTATCCAAATGTGTTACTATCATCATTATCTCTTGCAAGACTAAAACCAGTTCAATTTGGCACTAGACAAGCATAGCAATAATGAGAATCTATTTCCATTAGATTTTTTGTTGTTATACACTGTTCAACTTCATTTATTTCTAATCTGCTCGAATAGCACTTTGAGGTGTCAAAAATCCTCATTAGTGAATGACTGCTTCGCCCAAGTAATGTACCTCAGTCTACGTTCGGATGGGGTTTTTGGTGCGATTAAGTATGCAGAGCCACAAAATCTGTCACTTATTTTCCTTATACGCATAGGAGATAACGTCCTGAGACACTACACTTGACTTCATGAATATGTTTCTTGTTATCGGGTTCCTGCATGCAACCAGCGTTCCGTATTCATCCCATAAACGATTTCCCTACCTTTCCCTTACTCGCATTGCCACGCACATATCTGTCTATTAATTGCTTATACAATGGCCCACCTGCACCCCGCCCACTCCTCTAAATTTGGTCGAGCAAATCGCATCTATGGTCTACTGTACACACTGTCCGTAGTCTTTTGCATGAATAACCACTATCTTACTTTACCGTAATTTGTGGTGGCAGTCGTAGTGATAATCGTAGTGGAGTTGGCGGCTGAATATGGAGAGTTGCTTGCTTTGCGATGCAGTTGGTTGGTGAGTTAGTTGCTCCCAAGACAGTTAACTGCTTCCTTTCACCTCAGTGGACTCCTGCTCTAAATGGGCGTCATCCTAGTTTTCCACCTGACGGTTAACCAATTCTATCGAGAAAGATGAAAGAGTGAAACAGTGATTTTGAAAACACGAGTCAAGCGTTTGTTTATATCTACCCATACCAGTCACCTATTTCACGGTATTTTGGTTCACAAAATGCGTCATTGGAACTTTTATCACACCTTTAATAAATGATCCACAGTTAGAAATGTGCGCAAACTAACGGAAATCGAATCGCTTGCATCCAAGCCCCGTTTCTCTCAATCTCTCATAGCAGATAGACTGTTGCATCACGTGAGATGCGCATTTTCGAGAGTTTATATTTCTGGATTTAAATGTGGTAGAGTCCTTTGATTCCCATCAGAGGCTGGGGTGAAATTAATTAAATTTGGTCTACATATGACTGTACGCCCACATTGATAGTCAATAAAACTATTCCAAGCTTCCTGCAATACGATCATCATCTGTAGCAATACAACTGTATATTCGATGCATTCGCATAGAACCACGATCTCTGAGGCAATTTAATTCCATTCGGCAAATCTTTTGTCGTCTTCCGGGAAATTACTAAAATGTGCAAACCGATTTCTTCGCTTCTATATTCCTTACTCTGTTCATTGAAAACTAGTGTAACGTTTTCGTATGAAATGCATTAATCTTTCGGCCCTATCGTAATATGTTTACTGCATTAACTACTACTGTTTCTTGTACAAAAAATGTGGCAATTGACTGAAGTCGTCTGAGACAAACCAACATCATTCGTGCGTATTAATGTTCTGGAACATTGAATAACCAGACTGCGGTGCCAAAATACCGCGCTTATTTTGAACACCGCTGCTCAAATAACAATATGAAGTTCTATCCATGATACACGTTTTCTAGAGGATTCATTTCACAGTAATGCAATCAGTTCGAGTTGTTTAGCTGCACTCAATGGTGTAGATCGTGTCATTCTCTGTTGCAATATATTTGTGCAACCGTCGTTTTCATGTCTGTTTCTACTGTTTTCAAAGGCACATAATGACCGGGCTCAAACTGGAGGATCCGACTGTTGATGTGGCCGACATTGAGAAATACCGTTTGGCGTTTCTCATGCAGTTCTTTGTGCAGCACAAACCCCGCTTCCGGTTCCCAAGACTTCGTTTGCAGGTGAGATTATTGGTATTCCCGGGATCATTGCATCCTTGTGCATTGTCCACAGTTGGTAGTTCGAAACTGAACGCTACGATGATAACACCGTTCTGTAAAAATCGAGGGCGGAATTATTTTTGTAATCCGTGTTTTTGACTGTCAGTAACGAAGGGTGGGAGTACTGAACAGAGCGAAATAGAAATCAAACAATTGCCGTGCCGTGGAGGTGCAATGTTTCCTATCCTGATGCATATGATATCGAGCTGTTCTCTGTGATTAGAGAGGCTATGCTCACCTATTTGCCATCCGTGAATAAATCATACGTGACATTTTAGAAAGTATTCTTTCAATAATAACTTCAATATTCATTTATCCCGGGTTCGAACCGTTCCACCGCCGCCCGTCTTCCCAGGCAGCTGTTGTATGGCCGCGACCCCTCTTCCCGAATGTTGACTGTACATTTGTATATTCAATAAAATAAAAAAGGAAGTAAAAGGACATTTATTTATTGTATTAGAACAGTGGTTTATGATAAACAATGTCTACTTCAGTGCTGTCTCATAAATATGCAATCCATTGCTTCATCCTACCTTGATTTTGCTTTCTTTCTTTGACAATATGACAGCACCAAAAGAAGTTCTACTTTGAAAATTGGGAATCGTTTTTCAGTTTTCCATACTACCACGTATACCTGACTGTACATGGACTAACTTTGTTTAATGAATAATCTGTTTATTACGTTTGCGTATCGTGTTTAGTTCACTTGCCAATCCACAGATTTTTCGAGTGTGTGTGTGTTAAACAGCGTCGTTCATAGAGTGCTGACAGTTAGGTACCACGTTCGTTTTTAGCCTATGCTGTCGCACCACCCCGCAGCATTCTACGATCGTTTTAATTCAAATCAAACTAACTGTTCCCGACTATATTGTGAATGGAACCACGTGAAGGCCTAGATTATTCTCGATCCATCGTTCTCTTTGTACGATGCCTATCCTAAATGTGTGGTGGGTGATTATTAAACTACTGGTGAACTCAGTCAGTATACCCTAGTATAGACATCTTTTGGTTCGAGGACGGATTTGGAGACACCTGAAATCGTTATTTTTGCTCTTGAAAATACTCTCAATCTTGACCTCTGTTTTATCTGACTACTCTCGTTTGGCTTAGTTTTGTTTTCTGGATCTGTTTTGTCCCTAACCGATCCGTTATCGCTTTATCGTCATAGTCTTTGAAACACGGTTGTAACTGATCGACCGTCGGTTGATTGCCCAATTCTCGCTCCCACAGTATTCAGGTGCACAACAGTCGCAGAGCCAGAACATAATGGACGTTTGAGGAAACAAGATCGAGTCACAGCTCAACAGTGTCACAGTGATTGCCTCAGATCAGGAATGTAGCGAAGTTATCGCTCTGAAACAACTGTAGACGCGAATTCACAGTAGACGATACGAAAGATATTGAAAACTCAGCGTTATGGTTCTGAGTGCCTGTGAACAGAAGGTGAATGTGGGGCTTGATAAGCCAGTTCACTTAGAGTTGAATTCAGCAAGACGTTGCTCGTAGTGAGTGACAGAAGAAAGTGTGACTTTTTGGTGTAGGTGTTCAGTCTACTTGAACAAAAGTAGAAAGTAGACATTCTTTTCAGTATGATGGCTTACTCTTTTGTGTGTGTGGGATCATCCCTCAAATTCTACGCTGATTGACCGACCACGCTTTACTTGTAATCATTTCTACAGGATCTTTATCAACGTGTAATCAAAGATCCGGAACCCACAGCATTTTGCGATCTTGTGGCCCGCATCCTCCGTTTCCTCAGTCATGGAGATCCAGAAATCTCAATTGACCACGTGGATCAGGCTTTGGATCGATTCACTGTGGATAAGCGCACCTCATATCGAATTCAAATGCAGCGACATCGGAACGGCAAACCGGTGCATCAGCTCAGTGCCGAGGCTCGGGCTGCACTTTTAGACAATTTGATTGAGTCTGTATACGATGAGCAGCCGGATTTCAATTTCACCACCACCGGATTCAATACTAGCGGACTACCCAATGGAGTACGTTCTTCAAACGGGGCTGCCGGGGATGCAGTTGGTGCGAACGATTCAGATAACAGTGGCCTATTCGGAACCGGTGGTGGAAATTCCAGTTCTGGTGGTCTGGGGCTTGGGGATGGTGCAGGGGGCACCGGAGATTTTAATGAACAGGAAGATGTGAATGTCCTAATTAAAGCCGGCCAGGATGCGCAAGGTTGTAGTTACTATTATATGGATGGTGAGTGTTCTTGGAAATTTTCCGGCTTTTCTGTCTAATTTTTCTGACCGTTGTCACCAATGATCTCTTGTCTATATGCTACCTTNCCTTTTGATGATCTGGGCTATAGTACCATTCGTCTAACACGAAGGATAACAATGAAGCAGCATGGCTGAATGGTTGGTGGGTGTATATGCGTTTGTGATTGTTTTTCATTAGTTGATCAGGCTATTCTGCTTTAGAGTATCCACATTAAAACCTATACTAGCCTGATTTTGGTTCTCTATAGTAACTGTCGCAGTTTCGTTCCACGGATCTGGATTACAAATGGTAAATCGTGTTGGATGCGTTAGACATTATTACGAATACACGGCGGCGATGGTCAAGCGGTCAAGGTCTTCAGCTCATCACCCCGGAGGACGTGTATTTAGATCCCATCACCACCGCCTAACTTTCTCCATTTTATATGTATTGTATTGCAGCCTTTTGATCAACCGCTTTCCCCTTCTTGTTGTTTCCTTTCATTATTTATAATCAATAGAAGGAAATAAAAACGAATTCAAAAGTGCAAAGAAATTACTGTGTTGTGTAAAGCCATTCGTTTGGACACACTTTCAACATCAATCTAAAATTGTCCTGTTCTGAATAGGTAGGATTCCTTCGAGGTAATTTAATTTTTTAAATCACATCGCTTCTTTGAAAATTGATTGCAGTCGGTAGGGTTCATCTCACGGTATGGTCTGAGCGTGTTAGTTGCGCGTAACATTGCCACGTAACCTTCGGAAAACTTGCTGTGTTGCTGGTCCCACTTCGATTATTTTACGTTTAACGAACTGCTGTCCGCTAGCGGTGGCCGGTTGTGATTGATAGACATTTGGTCAAGTTATTCGGCTCCGAGCCCACAATGTATTACGTCACGAATGTGTCCTCGAGCTCGTGTGTTTATTTTAGTACATTCTGTTGTCCACACATTTTTCAACTCGTTGGTTTTCCCCTTCACATAATACCATCCATATTTAGTCGCTGCGAATTGAGGACAATCTGTGTAAAGAGTTTCTTGTACATGTGATAGTCTACGACAAAACTACCATCACTTGTTTGTAATATTTGCAATTCTCATCGTTAAATCTTCACTCCTTTGGTTTACCAGAAAACAACGAACTTGACCTTTTTTGATGAATTCAACAACTTGTGGGTTTGTCGCATTCTGCCCGTGGGAACTCATTTCACCTATTTGACTGTCTGAAAAGAATCCTGTCCGCGTAAACTCAAGCGTTTTCGATTCACTCGTCACACAACACTTATTGCTCACATACACCCGAGTCACTGACCTTTAGATACGTCCATCGATTGTAGGCTCATGTGTGGCAGCATACGGATTATGCTTAGCATTGCGCTTCCTTTCTCAGATCATATGAACTGCAACAGCGTGAGTGGCTTTGGTCAAGTTTATTTAAAGGTTGAGATCAGTCAAAGTTAGGCCTCAATATCGTAACGTTTCTCATCTCGTTTCATTATGTATTCAGTATTACTGATGGTTCATTGCGGTTCATACAACCATCAACTCAACTGTATGTGCCGTGGTTTTTTTCACTGTTCGTGGTGATCAGGCGTTTTAATTTGTTGACACTGATTTGCTCCACCCATCCCCACCCCCGGTTAGAATATCCAACCCTACCATCTCGACCCAGTAGATGGCTTTGCCGTCGTCCGGCTCAACATCCTGTATATCCCTATTAAGGTCTTTTGCACTTTAGTTCCTTGTCTCCCAGGACTGAGGTTGTCAGTTCCCATTATCAGTTAGTTGGTCCTGGAAACCCCGATCTCCTCTCATTGTATCGTTCATCACACCATATTGCGTGGTAAAAAATGATCGTCCGAAGACGCCGTTGATCATTGTATCATTTCGAACACGATCAAATTGAAAAGAAAAACTGAAATAGCCACAAAAGTATCAGCTGTCTGATTGTCCGCTTCCTCCTCCCTGCAAATTGTATCATTATGTATTCAATAAAAGGATTTAAAATAATAAAATAGCTCCCGAGTAGTAGTGAATTCCTTTCATTTTATCGTCGACGAGTGGCCTTCTCCTAAAATCGCTTCCCAAAGCTGAGTACACATGTGACGTTCTCTAATCGACCACTCTCTTCCTCTTATGTGCTGGGCATTGAACGTTCTCCCATTCTTTCACTTCATTGTCAAACTTTGGTCATCGTCAGACTGCTACCACTTTCCGCTGCTCGTCTCGCGTTGTGCATAATCTGGGCGCATGATCAGTGCGGTGCTAGAGTGGCCAGTACAGTCTGCTTTTGTCTTGCTCGACAATGTGTGCAGGACACGAACCCAAGTATGCATGCATGTTTGCGTAAAGGCCTGATGCCTTTCCGGACCGTGGATGGTTGTCGTATCGGCTAGTCACTCCTTCAATTGTTTATTTGTTTGTTTGTCTGATTGATCGTCTGACAGACCAGCGACCCGTCTGTTGGTTTGGCATGTGACTCATCCACGCATGCATGCTACATAGTCATCGGACGCACGTGTGTGTGTGCAAATGCGATGGCTAGACGTACAGACACGTAAAATCACATGCACTAACCCAAACTTGTCCAACTTCTGTTCCATACACACTAGGTTGTACGTACCTGGTCTACCGTATAGTTTGACCTGATGTCTCGTCCTAGCCTCAACGTCCGGTTCTCAACGGATCCTTTGGCTCGTGCCCAATGCGCCCACCAGCGTGGCATTATTTGGTGGAGTCCTGTGCCCAGTGTATGGTTCTGATACCTGTGTTTGTGCACACCATGTGAAGTGGTTGAAGAGAATAATAACAACACACGGGCGTTAGTCGGTCGCAGGCTGAACAGACCTGACCGATGCGGCGCCGTCCATTTAGTCACGTGATACAGTCTGACTATCATGTTAACCATAAATACGTAATTATACGTCGGTACAGATTCTACCTTTTACGGACACTTTCTTGATAATCAGACTGTGGTCGGATATCTGCCTGCGTCAATTGCTTTGGTTGTGGTTCATAGATCTGGAGTGCTGATTTCTCAGATAAACTTCATTTCAGAAATGTTGCTGTCGAATTTTTACACGCGCATATGGGAGCTAGAGGGTTTTGCGACTTGCCATCCATGATACACATTATGAGCTTAGGATATCAAAGTTGGGATACTCGGTGACGAACTGCGGGGTTGAAGTCAGTATATCATTTTTCGGTTGGCTAGGTTGGGTGTTTAAGATTTCAACATTTCTGCAGTATCTTGATAATATTCCAAACGTTCCAGTTGCTCTGTTCTCATACGGAACTCTTGTTTTCGATTGGCAGATTTACGGCTATATCGTGAACGACCCCAAAGCGGCATTTCCTCTCAATGGGATGTGGCTGTCGGACCAACTGCCGCTCAATGGCAGGCCTTCATCTCCTCGTTGAGTCGCAACGAGAAAGAATACGATTTATATTATTTCCTACAACACGAATTATTCGAGCTGGTCAAGGAGAGTCTGGATGTGTACGAATTGCATGCGGTCAATGGCGAATTGGATACGAGTTACTTGCGTGCCAAGGAGGCCAGTGAATTGACTGAATTAAGGCGTCTCAAAGGATTGAGTTCAGCTAAATCCAACGGTCCCAATACTGACGAGTCAAAATTCCCACTGACAACGGTCACTAGTTTGGGCTCTAATGGACCAAAAAGCGCTTCACCCGCGTTCTCCGGTGGTCACGGAGCTTGCGGGATCGGTAGTGCCGGTAGTTCAGCTTCTGGTGCTCCACTTACCCCCAGTTCTGCACGAACCCCTACCTCCGCTCCCCCGGCCACAGCTCTTTTACCCAACGGTTATCCGACTCCGTCTAGCACAGGACCATCCGCTGCATTGACCGTGGATGCAACCGAAACACATGGATTGGGCAAAAATGATCAAAATGTATTCACAACCCGTAGGTCAATATTGATATTTCTGTATCGATTTTCGGCACAACTTGGCGTAATTGTAATCTGTTCACACTTCTGATTTTTTTACTGCTTAGACATCCTCTCGGCCTGATGATGTAGTCGAAATCGAGTACTGATAGATTAGAGTAAAAACATTTTATTGCAATGACCAAAATGATAGTTGTTTCTCATACAACGCAGTTTTACTATGAAGGCAACATTTTTGTATGATCCGTTTTTTTTCGCTAGGATTTTTGTCAGTTTATTCCCAACTAGGGAGCTGCATTCCGTTATTGATTCGTGCTAATATTTATATAGATGCTTCCCTGCTCCCACTCTGTCCATCCACATAAACGCGCCACTGGTTTTTCATACCTTTGGAATTCAGCTTGTTCCCAAACTATAATTCCACTAACTCCTGATCACCCATATTCTATCACTTTTTGTGCATTTTCAATCTCTCAGTTTTGCTGTTTGCAAAACGTAAGTGTACATGTGCACGTTTTAGTGCACTCACGTGTGTTCTGACCACGGGTCCGACAATGCTCTTTCTTTCTTGTTTTGGTGTCCACTATTTCCCACTGAATGCGAACTCTCTCTAACTGGAGGTTGAATTTCACCCAGGTGTTTCACTATAACCCTACAGACTCGATTTCATCTAGTTGTGTCCATCCTTGATTCGGGCTGTGTTATCTGTCAGAATTTCATCCGAGGTTGTATATTATCAGATTCACACACGCACACGCAGGTTGTTCATTTTTGTGGTGCATTCGGGGTCACTAAACCGATTTATTAATGAATTCAGTAATTCAACCTAGGCCTACAGATTGGGAACGCATAATTCCGACAGAAATGTTCATTTTCCCCTGCGATATCAGGAGTGGACGCTAGGAAAAAACAGTTTTTTCAACAACCTTATTTTCGATGATACATCAGCTAGTCTATTTATCCCTTTATATGAATAATCGAGGGTAAGCCGGCGGAACGGATGATTTTCTCCGTGGTGGTTAATCTTGCCAACAAGATTTTCCTGATAGAATATAAGCTGTTCCTCTCATTTAAAGGTTTCAGAGCCCATGGTCGGTTACTTACTTCCCAGCCGAACACTTTTCATGCAAGGCTCAAGAATCTTTCACTAAACAACATGATACTATTTGTTGCTTGACTCCAGTACATCTGTGCAGTGTGTAAGTAGAATTAAGGTATTCGATGGATGACCCAGTTAGAGCTAATGACTGTTGACCCGTCCATGACGGCCTCATTGAATGTCATCTAGTTGCCGTACTTTGGGCCTGAGAAACAGATGTTCTTCGTTTGACTTATCTGAGTCGACAGTATTCACTCAGACCAAGATATCGTCATATCACCTTAAATACCGTCTGTCGAAAAAGTGCACTATAATTTCAGACGGTTATCATTATTATACTAACCCGACTCATCACCGGGCGAAACATTTTCCATGGATAGTGGTCTCAAGTGGTCCGCAAAAATTGTCTGCTCGTGACTGCGCGACTTGATCACAGTGTTTGTCCTACACATCACTCGCGCACACACACACATACCGGAGTGTGTACGTTGCCGGAAGTTTGGAAAGCTGTATGCACATACTTATTCTACTCCCGTACCGGTAGAGTTTTGCATCCCGATTTGATGCGCGTGCGTGTGTGTGCCTACGTTTGTTTCTGTACCTACTAATATTTTCCCCTCTTGTGCTGTTTCTCTTTCTCCGTCTCTCGTTCACTCATGCTCCCTTTGGTAGTAGTCATAATAGTAGTCTTTCTTTACCTTTCAAAACTGTACATTGCTATTTTCTCGTACGACCATCTTTTCATCCAAATGTGTAACCGTATCCCCCACTAACTAACTAACCCCTTGAACCTCCATCAGTTCGCCTGTCTCTCTGTGTGTGTTTCTCGACCTGTCTCACCAACCGGTTGTCTACGATGGATGCTTGTATGGGTGCACATACACACACACACACAGAAATCGGGAAAATGTAGAGTTGTGAATNTAGAGGGTATATCCATACGTTTGTTTGCGTGTCCCCATCCACATGCTCTTACGTCGAACAGATTGTAGTCTCAATTAAAAATCTCTAATAGATTCTCATTTATGGTGCAGGCTAACAATCGCTCAACCGATTAAAACTCGCAAAAGTGAAGAGAATCGCAGTGCTATATGGCAGTTCTACTCATTTAAGTTCTTTTTTTTAGTCTTTGCTTTATTATCGTCTATTCTGTAAGCCTAAAATATTTTTAATCCTGCCTCAGTCTGCTAAATAGGTTGCCAACTGTTCTGGATAATTCAGCGGCACAGTGTAATCATACTGCGTAGCACATCCTTGCTCAATGTTCTCCCACATGGTGCTATTTCCCATGACTTCCAGTAATAAATAAGCTTAGTTATTGTGGACGTCAGCTCGGTCACCTTGCCTTATTTGCGTGATTTAGTCTTGTGATTGAGGTTTCCGTGCCTTTCAACGGATTTGTCAATTTTCCGTCACTGTCTTTCCTGAAATCACCTACCTCTATGAACGTAGCTCACTGAGAAAATCTGTTGGAGTTTATTTGCGATGAGTATTCCAGGGAACACAGTTTGTTTAAGATATGATTAAGTAACCGTTCCCGATTCTCACATTACCTCAGGGTAGCCGGTCTAATTATACTACACTACACTTGTGCAAACTTGTGAAAGCATTATGTTGAAATGCCAACGATTACCACTCATCCTGCAACATTCATGTCTACTACTCAATTTGCCCGTTCGATAGACGCGATCGGTTGAATAAGATATTGCACGTTCATGTAGCTAGTTTTCGTTCTAGTGTCCCCTACCCTCCTTCAAACTCAATTTATATATCAAATGATTGTGTGTCGTATACTTCAATTTCGTTACTTTTATTATATTGAAAAATGATTACGTTGAAGTGCTTAGGATTATTGAAGAAAAATTGGTTGCCTTGTTCATCTAAATTCTGCGACAATACATCACTAAGGTTTCAAGAAAACAAAAGTTTTGCTATCTGCTAAATTGCATCTCATCCGAGAGTCACTCTTCTGATGAGGCTACGCCACCTTTAGTAGAAAAAATCAGTCGCCAATCTAGTGGCATCCTTTCTTTCTTCCTAAGGTGGTAGTATGTACTACGGATATTGCATCCAAACTCGCTGCGCTGTGCAGAGTAATCGATACTGCATAAGGGCAATATACTAAAAAGGTCATTTTAAAGGGTGTTTCTGCATTTCTTCTGTGGTTTGTTCGGACACCTGAGTTGTCGCTAATTAAGCTCTGCCGGCCTCAATTGTTATCCGATCATAGTGGTAGTATTATATTCCTGGTTCTGAGGTTCAAGTTTCATACCCCGCGACCGCCATCTAACTGTTTTTGTGGATGGCTTTGCCATCATGCAGCTCAATACTGCCTCTGTCCTATAGGGCCCTATATAATTTACTAGTTTCCATCCCAGGCCTTAGGTTACCAGTTACGATGACGGAATAGCAAGTGCATATGGGATTCAGTCAATCTACTATCTATCACATTTGGTTATAGGATGAAAAAGTACGTTTGACTAGTACTGCAGCGACTAGTTCATGGTGTGATGGAGGCGTGAATCATTAATTGTTTCACAAGATTTGTTCTTGTCGAGGCAGAATTCAATACTTTTCTGCGCGGTCGTAATCTGCACACAGGCTGTTTTCCTCTGATGCGCATCCCTCTCGACCCGATTCAGCACATTTAATACATTTTCTATCCACACAAGCTTTCTTTCGGGTTCTGGTTTACATGGCTCACTTTCTATTTGTAGCCCTGTGATGTTTGTTTACTAGGATGCCTTTACGGTCACTAATTATGATTCTGCCCTTAATCACTCCGTGTTTCGACTTTGTTTTGCGTACATTTTATTGACCATTGAATTCAGTTTTAAATGCTTAAATCTCCACACGCGTAGTTTCACTTGGCACTCCTGACTTCATATTATCCACACTGCTTGGATCAGTCTGTCCGAAAGACTTCATGAGATTTTTTTATTGAAATTAATGGAGTCGGTGATTATTAACGAATATTTCATTAATATTTTGAGTTATTTCACTCGACTCACGCTTCATATCTAATATGTTCGATTATTTGGAGTTGGGAGTTTGTGAGTCATCGATTTACTTCCTCTACGGTGTGTGCCGTGCTTTGATAAACTGCAGTATAACTCTAATAGGGTTATCCGGATGAATCATCGCGCAACTGCATTCCAAACTGCCAATGGTGTACGCTTTGCGTAACACCATGCTACCCTGCTTTGAGTGTCCGCACTCAAATTCGCGCATCCTAATTGTTCTCGTATGTTTTTCACTTGCTTTTCTCTTGTAACTCAGGACTATCAGTTCTGGTTTCCAAGGTTGAAATATCGATTGTTATTCTCCTTCTTTAAAGAAGGACCAGTCACTGTGTCACTGGTCAAACCTATGATCATACGTCATTCTTAAGAGCATGTACAGTACGCGTAAAGTGCGAGCTTGTAAACGGCAACGTTGGTTGTGAATGCATTAAATCTTTACTCTCCGACAGTTGGACAATTGCCGTCATACTTGCTCGAGACCAACGATCATTGTGTTCCTGTATATCCTCGCAGCGTTCAATTCCATCGGTAGAACTGAACTATGTAACTGTTTTAGTAGAAAAAGAGTGTTTGAAAAGTATGAGTTGATCCTCAAGCGCTTTTGTTTGTCATACTTCACGTAAGATAAGGGCCTATGAACAAATCACCCCCATTTTACAATCTCCAATGGGTTGTGACAAAGTTGTTCTTTTCGGGTTGCCATGGCAAACATTCGATAGAGTATCTTTTTCAGTATGTCAAACGGTGAAGTTGAACTTCTCTCAGAGAACAAAGTTTTCCCATCCACACTGAACTGATTAATTCGCCTCACCGAGTTACAATACACGAGCAATGGAAGGCGCTTTGAGCGGCTTAAAAGATGAAGTATCTACAACTGGTGTTTCGTGTCATTCAGTTACAAATTATTCGGACAAGATAGACAGGACCGTTCGCTTGCACCCTCCTTTGTGGTTATCAGTCAGAGAGAGAAAGAGACAGCTGATAGCTTTAAGTGTCTCGGCACTAGACGGTGTAAAGGGGACCAAATCACGATTAGGAAGAGCTGGAGTAACTTTTATTGACCGATGACATCTCTGGCTCCACCATAATATCCGACTTTCAAGAGGTGGATGTACATCACCTCAGTACATGAGTGATAAAAAAATTACGCTGATGGTCCCAATGGATCTTTCCGAAATAGCCATTGGGAAACCCCAGGAGATCTAGAATGCCATTGGTCAAAAACTGAAAAACATGTTACTCAGAGTAGAAATTAGAAGTGTGAAGCTTGCACGCATTTAAATGTAAAGAACTGTGGTACGTAATACCTGGATAAACAATTACAAAAGAGCTGCAGAAAAATCGGCTCCGCAACAATTGTATTCTATATGATATTCAAGCTTTAGCGAGTTATATATAAGCTTTCAGCCAAAAATAGACCGCTGTTACAATTCTGGTAAAAACAGGGGAAAAAGTGGGATGTGAAACACAAAAATATGAGTTAGTTACTAAATGCATTAGAATGCTCAGAGCGAATACTTTCCTTGTC